CCCCCCAAACAATCCTGACCTAGCCCAACGGTCACTCTCCTGCCAGAGAGGGAATGAGAGGGATCTTGTCTCCTGACATGACCAACGGTCGTTGTTATGGCTGTCGGCTGCCTTCTCTCATTGACTTCATACATTTCTTTGGGTAAGCTGTCTTTTTATCACCCTTAATCCTTTCATTGATGTTTCCCATTTCTTCATTCACAATATGCTCCATCTCAAACGAAACGTTCTTCAGTTCATATTTACCATGATGTTTTCATGTATTCCTTTTTAAATTTTATTTTCTGACAAGGAAACTTTTTTTGGCAGGCTGCTTCTGATGTATGATACGTGTTGTGTGCATTTCCACCTCCTCTCATAGTAGTTTTGCTGGCAATGACAATGGGTGAGTAGCTGAGAGTCTGACACATTATTATTATTTTGGTATTAGCTTGCATTGTTATTTTATTTTTTTGTGTTGCAGGTGTCGCCACACCAGTTTTCTTTTGCTTGTACTGTGTGTTCACATCTCTTACTTTGACTGAACATTTAAAACACAGGGATGACCATAGACATATTAATAGGAAGTTGTTTCATTGTGGCATGAACAGGTGTGAAAAAGTTTTTAACTCTGAGGCTCTACTAAGGATCCACATTCTTCGAACCCATGCTGTGAAAGTGAGTGATTTGAAGCTATCAAGATCGACACCTGCTACTAACAGTAGAGGGCAGTATGTGTGTTCTGTAGCAGTGTGCAAGAAAAAATTTGAAGTGTACAAGCAGTTTCTCAATCATCTTTATGGCCATCTTTCTTTTAAAGTTAATGTGAAGTGCCCATACAGTGCTTGTCAGAAAATTTATACAAATGAGAAATCACTCTCTTCTCACCTCACGAGGAAACATTCATCTAAAGCTAAAAGTTCTGTTTGCCACTCTCAAGCTGTTTCAACATTGTCTACTGTTGAGATCTCTGAAGAGGTGCCCGTGGAGTTTCAGGAGAATGATGTTGAAGCAGGTAATTCTATCTATGAATTTCAAAATTCTAAAGAAGATCAGCAGGCATTACTTCTCAAAAACTTAGCTCAATTTTGTATGAGACTTGAGTATCACCATATTATTCCTGAGAAAGTAATCCAATATATTATGGAAGAAATGTCTAATGTTTATTCTCAGGGTTTATCTTTCCTTGACAATGAATTGCGACAACAAATGAAAAATGAAGGCATTTTAGATGACAAGATCCAACGGATTCTTTCAAGTGTGTTTAAGAATGACCCAACTGCAAGAACATTTAACAAAGAGTTGCGATCAACATACCTGAGAAAAGAATTTTACAAAAGAACTTTTACATTTGTTCAACCTCAGAAGGTAATTTTTGACCGCACCATTGTGAGAGATGGCAAAGAGATTAGGAAGCAGTGCTTTTATTATTATGTGCCGGTCAAAGAAACCTTACTTGCTTGCTTTGAAGATAAATCTTTAAATTTAAAACTGAAGCCTATTCATGTCAGAACGGATGGTCTACTTTGTGATGTGACTGATGGTCTTGTTTTCAAAAACAAAGTTATGCTGGACGATCCACTTACAATTTATATTGTCATTTATCAAGATGGAGTCGAAATTGTAAACCCCATTGGACCGGGGAAAAAGAAGCATAAAATTCTTGCTATTTATCTCTCAATTTTAAATTTACCAGATCATGTAAGATCTCACATTTCATCCATTAAGCTTGTTGGCCTATGTAAGGAGAAGGATTTTGTTCATGAAGTGATTTATGGTAAGATTGTGGAAGACTTGCAAGAGTTGGAAAGAAATGGATTGTATGTTGAAGGCATTGGAAATGTCAAGGTTAGATTGGTTTTTATTGCTGGAGATAATTTAGGGAGTCATGCCTTGGGTGGATTTGTAGAGAACTTCAGCAAAGCAAACTATTTCTGTAGGTATTGTCACCTTTACCGTCCAACATTCTCAAGTAGAAATGGTGAAAGTATAGAGTTTGACTTGAGGACTGTGGAATCATACAATGAGTGTGTTGAGCTTGGAAAGTCTAAGAAGTACGGCCACAAAGGTGTTAAATTTGATTCTGTTTTCAACAAGTTGCGTAACTTCCACTGTTGCAATCCTGGTCTTGCGTGCTGCCTTGGTCACGATCTAATGGAGGGTTGTATAGCTTTCGACTTGAAACTTTTTATTGATTTTCTAATTGCTGAGTCGTGGTTCACCCTACATGAGCTAAATGAAGCTATTGCTAAGTTTAATTATTCTACAGAAGAAAGGAAAGATCAGCCACTGCCTATCCAAGAAAATGCATCAAGAGTCAAAGGGGGAGCTTGGCAGATATGGACACTACTTCGCCTTTTCCCATTAATTGTCCAGGAATATATAACTGATGAAGAAAATGAAGTTTGGCAAGCTCTCATGATGTTGTCAGAAATTACTGAGATAGTGTGCTCACCAACAATTCACAAATCTAATTTACCCTATCTGCAGGAAATCACAAACTCTTATTTGACTGTAAGAAAAAATCTCTTTCCTGATGTAAAACTTCGGCCAAAGCACCACTACCTCTCCCATTACAGTTGGCTCTGCCTCATGTTCGGTCCATTAATGAAGGTTTGGACTCTAAGATTTGAATCAAAGCATACATATTTTAAAAGAACAGCCCGTGTTATAAGAAATTTTAAAAACATTTTGTACAGCTTTAGTATGAAGCATGAGCTGCTACAATGCTACCTAAGAAGTGGAGCTGATCTGAGGTGTGATGTGGAAGCAGCAGGCACCAGCAAGCTCTTTGTTTCTACTTATTCCAAGGACATTCAGGATGCCATTTCTAATGTACCTTCTAACCTTTGCAATGTTGAAGAGTGTTTGAAATTGACTGTTAAAGGGACAGAATATGCTAAAGGTGACATAGTTGTGCTAAGCCAAGACAGCTATGAATGCAATGTACAATTGGGAAGAATAATTTTATTACTACTTGATTGTGATCAAAATGTTTACTTTGTATGTGAAAAACTTCAAACTTTATTCAGACCACGGCAAAGACTCTATATTCTTGGAGAATGCAAAGGATATGCATGCGTGAAGCAAGATGAGCTGTTAAGTTTCTACCCAATGAAGTCTCATCGTGTTGCTGGTCATCAATTAGTCAAATTGAAACACGCAATTGTAAGCACAAATATTTTGTAATTTATGACAATGATATCACTGTACTTCTATCTGTATTAGCTTTTGTTTGTAAAATAGTAAGTGATAAAAAGGTGCCTTGTGACTACTGAGACTTTAAGAATACTTTTATAATATTTTATTTGGTGTTATTCTCAAACACTTCTGACAATGTTTTTTAACTGTTAAGATGCAACAGCAAAATAAAATGAATATAAATGAAACAATAGTTATAACATCCTTTACAAAAATTGAAAGAATGAACATTGAACTGAAGAACCAAAATATCAATATCATTATTTTAATCACAACAAGATAACTATACCGACATACTTTCATTCAAGTAACAATTTTTTACGGATATGTTCAGTAGGTGAACTTCGTTGAAACCGTTTCCTTACCATGTATATTTGCTCAGTTCAGATCACATACAAGTGGTACACAGCTTCTATAAATTGGCCATTATTTTGAAACTCAATTCGTAGGATTGCCTTCAAGTACTGTTGCAAATTTGATACAACAACTGAGGCAGAAATGGGAGCTGGAGATGAGATATAGGAGTACACTCTACTTGGTTAAGGAGAGGCTTGCACCATTGAAAGCTCACATCTTAGAATTCACATTTTTCAATTCAAGAATACAATAGAAAGGCCAATTACTTTTCAAATAAATGGATAATCAAACAAAACAGAAAGTGAAATTACGCTATGCAAGCTTCATTCGGAATATTTACAAAAGTGACTGCTTTCTGCTAGAGGACAAAACTCATACCAACAATGCCACAATTTTGAAATAAATAAATACTTGATCTTTCCTTTACTGCGTACTAAATTGTTACTTAAAACTACTCAAAACTAAAGTAACATTACGATTTCGTGGTCCTGCATTTTTATTTACGCTCTGCTGTCCATTTTACTGATAATGTGAACTTGGCAGAGGTTGGCTATCTAGCCGCCATTACGATTCGCTTTTGTCTCCAATCTGGAACAGCTGATGCTGATCCGGCGAGCAAGGCTGTTCAAGTCCACACTAAAACTTATAAATGTGTTCGATGTTTGTTCACTTTTTATCTTGCCGTTTGACGTTGAACTTCGTCTTTGAGGTAAGTCTTCTTGTGGTGCGTCTCTGCCTGACCGCGGATTACTCTTGTTCTTGACCGACTCAGCCTCTAGGCTTGCCCTAGGCCTGCTCTCCCCATGGCTTGGTTATACTCAACGACACTTCTCATTAGCATTATTTTATATATTTTCTCGGGGTTTTCGTCGTGAGACCTAGTAGAAACGAGTACCTAAATTCTTGATTGGTTTCGTCTTAGTTAATGTCTAATTTCGGCCGACATTTTGAGGCCGGCGTCAGTGTTTAGGTTAGTGTTGAGGTTACCTCACGAGTCTTGGAACTTTGCTTTGTGTCTATCCTGGCCCCTAACCTTTCAGCTGTGTGAAACATAATTGTGAATTCCTTAGACTCTATTTGATCCCTGTCATTAATTTGATGGTTATGTGTGACCAAGCTGTTGGGGACTTCTGTCCGAGTTAACTTGATGATTGAACATAAACATCTGTTTGCTCAGTTATTGAAATGTATTAACTTATTTTTTGTTTAATTTCAGGTTCACTAGATTCAACATGCATCTTGTCAGAGTCTTTTCAAATGATCGGAAGTTTAAAGTGTTTGTGAAAGTGAGTCAGTTGGCCGAGCTCATTGATGAAGGCCGCAGAAAGCTCAAACTTCCAGACATCTCGTATGAGGTGAGTGTTTTGATACTTGTGTTGGTCCCAATGAATAAAATAAATCTTAATATAACTTTCAAGTGATTTTATACATTTCAAACTGTCTACCACATAATTATGTAGTAAAATCTGTTGTCATTTTCTCCAATTCTGTGAATAGGTTTATCAGGAAGATGATGGAACGCTCATTGATGATGATGCTGTGTTTGATGCACTTTGTGAGGAGGCTACTTCCAGACAGCAAAAGCTAGGCGTTATGCTTATCGCAGAGGATTCAACCTGGGTTGCTGTTAACTCTGATCCTGGTGAGTGCTATTTCTTCATACCTCTTTAATTTGAATTATCTTGCCACTGCTGAAAATACAAATAGAAAGAGATGTCTTCTTTTTGTGACCATGTTAAGTTTCAATATTAATTTCTCTTCGTGGGGTGAATTGGTTTCCAGGTCCATCACCTAGCCGTTCTACATCTGAATCAAGTGAAACAACGAGTGATTCATCAAGCTTGGATTCTGTTCCAAACTGTCCATCGAACTCTACTCGATTATTCCCAGTTGCATCTGTGACTCAATTTTTAGACCCGCTTGTTGAAATTTTGAACTCATCAACTCATCCTCCTAAGCACTTTCCTCACATGAGGAAACACGCTATTAAGGAGACATTCCATGCAATTGGGAATCACATGATTCTCACCTTAAAAGACTTTGGCAAACCTACAGCTCGTAAACTTGCTCAAGCTATTTTAGATTATGAAGACAAGAAATATTCAAGAATATTTGCTATAGACATTGGAGATGTAGCATGCGATTCTGGACTTGGTTCATTTGCCCAGCAGATTTATGCATATGTTCAAGCCAATAAAGGTGAAGATAACAAACAGAAGAAACGCAGGAAGAGGGTCCATAGTGATGGTGAGGAAGACCCTGATCCTGATGGTGACTTGCTTCCGCCACCACCATCTAAACAAGATTGCTATGGTTGTGTGGCGTTTGATCCTCCTCTTCCAGAAGGTGAAACTGCAGATTCGCAAGAGGTTAAAAGAGTGGCAGCTGTTACTATGGATCCCCTTTCAGAAGAAGCCACTGACTTAATGAAAATAACTTATGCCTCACAAAGAGCAGAGATCAACAGAGGTAAACCAATGCTCACTAACCTACCTAAAATTTTAGACCGTTGGCCACTGTTAAAATGCAAAGTTATACTGATTGCTCATGCTGCAATACTCCTTGGTAAAGATGTCAGCTCTGTCTGGACAAATGCTGTCTCCAAGAAATGGGAGTCTGTTTTTAAGTTTTTTAAATTTTACTGGCAAAATCCAAAGAAATCTAATGAAGAAATGCTCAATTTGATGCAAAATGCTGAGGAATCAGATATGGCTGGAAGGTCAGTTGTTTCCCGGTGTGCCAGTATCTTTCTACTCATCACGGGATTCATGAGCGAAAAGTCCTCTGCTCTTCTCTCTACTGTTCATGTAAGTTCAATGAGTTTAGCATGGCATACAAATGAACCAACAGGTTATCTTAGTATTTAAAACAAACTTTTAATTTAATTTTCTCTTTTCCACAGGCCCTCTCTTCTGATGAAGATGTGCTTGAAGCAGCAGCAGGGGCAGAAGGATATCCTCTGATTGTAGTAAAAGGTAAAGGCTTTCCCGAATTTTTATATTATTTTTTGGAGTATCCATTTTACAGTTCTAAATTTGTTTATAGGTGACTCCCTCATTGACCCTGACGCAGAATATTTTGTTGTCCTGGTTGGGAAAACTGCTATCAAAGCTTCTGATGCTACAGAAGCAGTTTTGCTGCTACTTTTATGTTATTACAATTTTAACCTCTGCTACCACCCTAAACTACAAAGTACTTTGGAATTTTTCCAAAGGTGTGTGTGTGTAGCTTTTGTGCTTAATGGAATAGCTATTATTTATCCTGAGTGCATCTCTAATGATCCAATTTTACTTGCAGGTGTTTCCTTGATGTGAACCCACCTCCAGAGAAAGGGAACAAGCGCTCTAAGCAACGCAGGACTGTCGACCATGTGGATGCAAAGGTGAAGTCTCTAGGATTAAAACTAAAGGATCATTCCTCGCTGTGGATACTTCCTACACATTAAGTTCACATTTATTTTTTGACTGCTAGTTGTACTATAACTCATTGTTTTTTAATATGGAGTGTTTATATCCATAGTATTTTTGTATAGTATGTTTGTAGCATTACTATTGTTATTTGTGACATCACATCACTAATCTGCATTTTATTGAGGTTCATTAAATGTATTGTAAGCTTAAACATTCATACTTTCTTTTACTTCCTTGATTCAAGTCCATATTGCTTTATTGATTACTTTCAATACTGACAATTGTATCCATTTATGACAAACTTTTCAGCAAGAGTATGATTGCCTATGTTGGACTTCAGGATTTGAAATCATACCGATACAGTGAAATAGATCTTTATTGGAACACAATACCGTATATTCATCTACATATTTTTATAATAGGGTCACAGATTTCAGTAACTATTTAACAGAAATAACTATAGGTTGGCACAGAAATCTATAACTAAGGATATGAATTTGTGTAACAGTTTACAGAATAAGGTATCATTATTGACATCAATTCCTGTATCCCGTTACAGGAATCTGTAAGTTCAGTTTTAGATTTCTGTAACACGATACAGAACTGAGATTCAATATTGGCACAAATTTCTGTATCACGTTACAGAAATCTATAACTGAAATTACAGCTTTCTGTAACAGGTTTTACAAAATTATGGATCAAGCGGATACAGAATTCTGTATCAAATCTGATACAGATTTCTGTAACTTGTGATGTGTAAATTACTGCGTAACAATGTTACAGAATTTTGGACTGATTTTTTTTAGAGTGCACTAAGCGCACTAGATCTGTGGGCGCTAGAGACACCTTACGATTATGGCCGGCCGAATCGCGCCGGGCGGACGTTTGGATGAAGTGCGCAGCTCAGAGATCTGGCACGGCACGGACCGGCCGCCCAGTCCGGCGCGCTCGGGGTGCATTGGCCGGCTCGCCGGTCCGTGCCGTGCCGCGCAAGGTGAGCAAGGCGGCGCGCGGTATCAAACAGCGCGGAGCGGTTGAAATTTTCACACACGTTGCGCAGTGCGTAAACGATGTCGTA